GTGTCCTCCTGGACTCACAGCTAAATTTGGAACAACATCTATCGGCTGTGGCCAGGGGGATCTTTTCCCAGGTTCGCCTGGTGCACCAGTTGCGGCCTTATTTGGACCGGTAGGCTCTACTCACGGTCACTCATGCCCTTGTCACCTCAAGACTGGATTACTGTAATGCGCTCTACATAGGGCTACCCTTGAAGAGCGTTCGGAGGCTGCAGTTGGTTCAGAATGCAGCCGCGAGAGCGATTGTGGGTGCACCAAGGTACATCCACATGTCACCTATCCTCCGCGAGCTGCACTGGCTTCCTGTGGGTCTCCGGATGCAATTCAAGGTGTTGGTTATCACCTTTAAAGCCCTTCATGGCTTAGGACCAGGTTACTTACAGGACTGCATACTGCCGCATAGTTCCCAGAGACCAGTGAGGTCCCACAGATTGGGGCTCCTTCAGGTCCCATCGGCCAGACAACGTCGGCTGGCGGGCCCTCAGGGAAGGGCCTTTTCTATGGTGGCTCCGACCTGGTGGAATCAACTTCCCCCCGAGATTCGAACTATTCCCACCTTGCCGGCCTTTAAAAAAGCCATTAAAACTCTCCTGTTCTGGCAGGCCTGGGGTTGATGTCCCCGGGGGGGGGGCAGGATACGATTGGGACATGCTGTATGAATGCACTTATTTTATTGTTTTATTGTTATATTTATTGTTTTAATTTTGTACGCCACCCTGAGTCCTAGGGATTGGGCGGCGTATAAATTTTATTAATAAATAAATAAAGTTTCCCCGAAGACACCATCACTTAGCGGTCTCTTTAACCCTGTCTTTTTTGTCCCCCTGCTTTGCAATGCCACTTCCACGGCACATCTCAGACCCGATCCTTCCATGCTGGCAACTTCAGTTACTCCAAACTCGGAGGTGGATCCAAATTTCACCGAACCGGTAACAACACAATACCGCATTCCTTGCCCACCATGTTCCTCAACGCAGTATGAAAGCAGTGGATATCTCCGGCCTCTTTTCCCCTTCCAAGTAGCAATGAGAAAAGGCTTTATAATGTGGCCTGGGACCTGGAGGAGGCTCTGGAGGTGCCCACAGTAGATGAACCTTTAGGACCCCTTGTGTCTCCAACTGTCATTCCTGATGACGTTTCTGAGGCCCTCAAGGCTGAGGACCGTAAATGTGAGCTCTCTTACTGCAGAACTCATCAAACTGCGGCGTGGGCTATCAGAGCTACTACCTCTGCATCATTTTTTAACAGGTCTGCTCTCTGCTGGCTTAGACAGCTTCAGGCCAGGATACCGGTGGAGGATATCCGCACACATCAAGATCTGAGTAAGATAGTGGCGGCTACAGAATATACGTCCGATGCCACCCTCCAGGCCACCAGATTTTCCTCCAGAGCCATGGCATCCAACATCACTGGCCGCCATATGCTCTGGTTGAAACACTGGCACACTGACACCAAGTCCAAGTGGCACTTATCAGCAGCCCCTTGTCAGGGAAGAAAATTGTTTGGTGAAGCTCTGAATCCTTACCTCACTGAAAATAAGGATAAACGTAAGGTCCTCAATCACCTCCTTAAACAATCAGATAAACATCCCAACACCTACTCACGGAGGCAGTCCTTTCATGCAGGAGCCAAGTCCAACTATTCCCAGCCCAACCATTCTTTCCCTATCAGGCAGGACAGACAGTCTGACAGACAAGTTTCCAGACCCAGGCAACAATTTCAGGGCAAACGGCCCTTTCGCGGGAGCAGCAGCCCATTCTGCCAATCCAGGTGATTCTCAGGTGGATCCTCCCATTGGGGGCAGACTCTCTCTCTTTGCCCGCCAGTGGGAAGCCACCACCATGGGTGCATGGGTCCTAAACACTGTGCGTCATGGACTGTCCCTGGAGTTCATCTCCAACCCCCCAAATCGCTTCATTTCTTGTCCCCAACTAAGAAATCCAACAAAGAAAAGACTTATGCGAGAGCCATTCGTCATCTCTTGAACATACGGGCCATAGAACCAGTGCCATTGGATCAGAGAGGTCTGGGGTTTTATTCCATCCTCTTTGTCATCCCTAAGGCATCAGGGGGATGGAGAGCCATCCTAAATCTAAAAGGATTAAACTATCATCTTGCATACTGCAAATTCAAGATGCAAACGCTCCAGTCCATCTTAGGAAGCATAAGAAGGGGGGACTTCCTGACATCCATCGACCTCACAGAAGCGTATCTTCACATCCCCATCTCTCTCACCCACCACCAGTTTCTAAGATTCGCCCACAGGGGACACTATTATCAGTACAGGGCACTCCCGTTCAGCCTATCCTTGGCTCCGAGAGTCTTTACCAAGATCCTGGCAGTTCTAGCAGCTCACCTGAGAATGGTGCCAGTCAGATTCCAGTGCTACCTGGATGACATTCTAATCCAGTCATCGTCAATCCAGGCTGCTCAAACGGATCTCGAACTGGTGATACTGCTGCTCCAGGATCACGGGTTCTCAGTAAACCTCTCTAAGAGCCATATGGTCCCCGCAACATGGTTGTTATACCTAGGGGCCATCATAAACACGATGGAGTGCCAGGTCTATTTATCCCAAGAACGCCGGGACAGCATCAGGGAATCAATTCTACAATTGCGCAGGGGTCGAACGGTAACATTGGCCAGTCTCTCCCAATTACTGGGGAAGATGATCTCAGCCATTGCGATTGTACCTTGGGCCAGGCTCCACTCCAGGAATCTCCAGTAGTTCCTACTCCCCTTCAAGAGGAACATCAGTTCCTCCAATCGAAGGGTGAGACTTCTGCTTCACATCTCACGATCCCTCACATGCTCTCATCAGCCATGCTCAAGGGGTCTTACTTCAAGGAGCCCGATCGACTCATCCTTATGACTAATGCCAGCCTGTTTGGCTGGGGAGCGCACCTTCGCTCACAGTGGACACAGGGCCGTTGGTCCCATTCCGACCTTGGTCACAATATCAACTGGCTGGAGCTCATGGCCATATACCTGGCTCTCCGCCACTTTCTCAGCACAGTGGCGAAGTGTCATGTTTTGTTCCTCACGGACAACATGGCTGCCAAGGCACACGTGAACCGGCAAGGGGGCACCTGATCTCGTGAACTCTTGACTGAGGCACTCCTGCTGAGTTCCTGAGAAGAAGCCAACCTGGCCTCCATCAAGGCCGACCACATTTCACGGGAGGCAAACACTCAGGCCGACTTCCTGAGCCAGGTGACGGTGGACCATTCGGAATGGCGCCTGCACCTGAGGATCTTCAGGGAGATCTGCCACCGCTTCGGATTGCCAGTTCTAGACCTTTTTGGCTCCCCGACAAATGCTCATCTCCAGCGATTCTTTTACCGCTTTCTGTCTCCAGGGGCGGAAGAGGTGGATGCTCTTCGGAGCCCATGGCCAGAGGGACTGCTTTATGCCTTCCTTCCTCTTCCTCTCCTTCCAGTGGTTGTCCGCAAGCTTCTTCGGGAGCAGGTGGAGGTTTTTCTAGTGGCTCCGTATTAGCCACAGAGACCATGGTTCGCCAACCTTGTGAACCTCTCTCTAGCGGCCCCACGGAGGATTCCCCCAGATCGGGTCTCACTCAGCCAGGGGACCCTCCTTCATCCAGATCCCCAGTGGCTCCAGTTAGCTGTCTGGCACTTTAGTGCTCAATCTTGTCCCAGGAGTCCTGCTCGCTGGGGGTCATTACCGTAATCCAGGCCTCCCATCGGTACAACCTTATTTATGAGGCCACGTGGAAAAACTTCTGTTCGTCGTGCTCGAACCACCACTTGACCATTCCAGACTTGACAATTCCACATATATTGGATTACCTTCTACAGGGTCTGGAGAGGGGCTTGGCTCCAAACACATTGCGCAGACAAGTCGCCGCTCTCTCCACTGTACTTACCTTTGACTCCGCGGTTTCCCTAGGTCATCATCCCTTGGTCCGCTCGTTCATCAAGGGTGCTACTAACACCAAGCCCTCTTGGGACCTGCCGCAGGTTCTTCAGGCTCTAACCAGACCGCCCTTTGAGCCCCTCAAGACATGTGATATACGATACATATCGCACAAGGTCACATTCCTGGTGGCAATCACCTTGGGGTGACGAATATCAGAATTGGCTGCACTTTCAATCAGAGATGACTTGTGCATTTTTCACGAGGACTGAGTGGCATTTCATCTGGACCCTACCTTCCTTCCTAAGGTCAATTCTCTCTTCCACACGGCTCAGGAAATCGTGCTCCCAGATTTCTGTCTTCATCCATCTCATGCCCTGGAACGGCAATGGCACCGTCTGGACGTCCGCAGAGTGCTCTGTTACTACATCTCATGGACAGCTGCCCACTCAACCCATAGTGCGGCTACTTCCACGGCCTGGGCCACTCAGGCGTCCATTGAGGACGTTTGCAGAGCAGCCTCATGGTCTTCATGATCTCCCTTTATAAGGCATTACAAGATTGACAGGTTCACCTCTTTTGGTAGGACGGTTCTCCAACAGGTCGTACCTCAAAGTGCCACACCGGACCAGCCTGCTTCCCTCCCTCAGGGACAGTAAGCTTTGGTATGTCCCATTGGTGGATTCTCTATCTCCAGTGCTGGAGAAGGGGCGTTGTCTACCTGAACGCCTTTTCTCAGCACGGAGATGGAGAATCCACTCTCGCCCTTGCAGATGATTTAGGCCTAGGGCTAGATTTATGAACCACCACGTCTTGCTGTCAGTCATGGCTTCGCCTGCATCGAGACTGGGACACTCTAGCCCAGGACAGATGTTGCAACTTTGGCTGACTTGATCTGATTGGGCAGGAACACAGTCTAAACCCATTGGTGGATTCTCCATCTCCGTGCTAAGAAAAGGCATTCAGGTAAGACAACCCCCCTTCTAGACAAGACTGTACCATCGCAGACCTCCCTATCCCCAAAAAATCATTTCAGAAGACATAAATGTACTTTTATCAAATGCAGTAAAAGTAATGACTCTGAGATTTGGTGGTTCAGCTTACATATATTTTAACTACCGTTCGACTTCAAATTACAGTTTTCACAGGTCTCAAGAGAAATTAATACATGAATGCCTTATTTTTCCTTATCACAATTGTAAAGTTGAAAGTTACAAGGTTGCTGCATAATGAATTAATCCAAAAGATTAAAGTTAGATCAGTGGCTTCTTGTATTTTGCCATATAAGTGGGGAAGTTCCATCTTTTCTTGTAGGAGAACATCCCTTTCCACAAATAATGAATGAATCCTACAATTCAAACAAAAGTATTCTGAGTATGCAATTTCAATAATCAACTATATGAAATATATTTCAGATTATTACTTGAATTATATATTATTCCCTTCATTTATTTCCTTTTGCAATTGTAGGTTTGGTTAGTCAACAGACAACTAGAAACTTCAGATACACTGCAGCTTAATACCAGAAAACATTAATATTTATTGCTACATATGTGTAGGGATGTGGGTCTATACATATGTTGTTCATAGTATGTTTAGGTGTATGTCATTTATGTGTTTCATTTTGAGAGTGGGCAACTAAATTTCATTTTTGATGTGTGTCATTGTGCCCACAATATAAAAATGACAATAAAGGTTATCTAAGTTCATCTCCAGCAGGCTCAACAAATGGTTCTTCATATAGTCAGATATTTTTAGCATAAGAGCTTAGCATGAACCTGGTATGGTAGGGAGCAGTACAATCTACTTAAGTAAACCATTTCAAAGACTAAGTTAAGCATGACTAGAACAACTTTAAAAATAGTTGTGGTGAAAAAATTGCCAGGCCAGGTACGAAGCATGGCCCTGTCATTGTTAGCCCAGCTAGGTAGATCAGATCACATCAGATCAGAAAAGCAACTCCATCAGAAAACTAAACCTACACTTTATTTAGATAGACTTTAACAACAGAATTTTGTCAGCCCAATGTGCTTTACTTCTTATATCCCAGTGAATCAAAAACTTGTTTGAATTGTTTCGAAATCAAGTGGTAAGTACCTTTGTGGAAGGGGTCTACTGTAACTTCAAATGGTCACTAAGCAATTATCTATATTATCTTGCTACCCAGAACTTAAAAGAATTAAGCTTTTTTTTCTTATGTAAGGGTTCTTACCGATTTCTATCAAGGACATATCCCATACATTACAGTCATAAAAACAAAGGTGCAAAGGTTCTGTTTTCAGGAGGCAGTTTTCTGCAAAACTTGAAAATTTTAACTGTGTTCTAAAAGACCATGGAACATGAGTTATTTTATATTTTGTTCTTTTGGAATACAAACAACTTATATACTGCTTAAATGGTAAAACAAAATATTTTACATTTTACAGGCAGTACTAATTATAAGAACCACTACTTTAATACCATTTTGAAGTCTATTGTTTTTATTCACCTTGTTTGAACACGGGTAAAAGATGTTTACCTTTTTAATCAGTGAATTGCTCTTTTGCAAATAGTAATGGTATTTTTAAAATCGACATCTGCTTTCTTGAGAGACAACATGATTCCATGGCTATAAACATTATTTGTATTTATCAATTTAGAAAGAAGACATATTCATGAAATACCATATTAGACCTCAAAACTTTAAAGATGGTTTAAAAGTTTAATAGATTTCCCTGACACTGATTGAAGGTTGTATTTGGATTGCTGTTGCATGGCCTGGGGGATTCATGGCCCACCCTCCTACAACATGACATCCGAAGAACTTCACAAGGCAAGTGTGCAGTAGGATATGGGCATGTGGGAAAGAGGCCCAAGCACTGCAAGGTTCCAGCAGGGTGGGAAGGCGGGAGAGATGCTGGGGGGGGGGGCCTGCAGCAACCAGTGATGGGTCATAAGGACCACACAGAACCATGGCAGCCATCATAACTTTGAAATGGGAGGGGGGTTATATGTAGTTGTTGGGAGTTTCTGTCATAATTTCAAACATTAGTTAAATGATCTGTCATATCTCAAGGATTACCTGTCGTTCCTTCAATATATCAACTGCATAATTATTTTATTGCTTTCTAATTGAGCAATAGCTACTTACCAAATCTTGAACTTGATTAGCTAGAGGAGTTAGTCCTTGAAAGGCTGAAGAATAATTGCCTCCTAATCACAAACACAAAAGTCCATTATTGTATTATAACAGTTTAATTATATAATCCAATATTTGATTGTATTATTTTGCTAGGTAAAATATTAATTGACTTTATAGTATTGACTTTTTATAATATTAACATGAATGTAAATATTTTATGACAAGTAAATAGCTATGTTACCATTTTAAAATGCACACTATGCAACTCTTGCAATGCAGATTCAGCTCATATAGAAATTGCCTTGAAACTACATGAAGCCTGATTTGTTTTTATTATTTCTTTTCTCCCTATTACTGATGTCCTTCAATGAAGTTTTAATAGTACAGTAGTGCCATTCTACTCATGTTGAGAACAAGAACTGATGTGGTTCCAATTTTCAAAAAAGAGAAAAGACTACATACCACAGCTTGACAACAATACCTGGGAAAATTTTAGAAAAAATAATCAAGTAGCAGATTTGTAAGCATCTATAAATGATGGATCTGGAGGCTAAACCATATGATGAACAATTAAGGAAAATAGGTATGTCTAGCCTAATAAAGAGAAGTATTAGGGATGACATGATAGTTGCCTTCCAATATTTGAGGGGCAGACACAGAAAAGACAGTTGACTTATTCTCCAAAGCATCTGAGGGCAGGACAAGAAGCAATGGGGAGAGGCTTATCAAAGAGAAATCAAACCTGGAGCTAAGAAGAAATCACCTGATAGCTTGGTTCCTGGAGTTGTGTGTGCCCCATTGCTGGAGATTTTCAAGAAAAGATTGGACACCCATTTGTCTGAGATGGAATAAGGGCTCTTGCCTTGGGTAGTAGGTTGGACTAAAAGGCCTCCAAGATCCCTTCCAGCTCCATCATTCCATTCCACTCCACTGGATTTTCCTGCAATCTTCTCTTATTCTATTACTGTCTGATTTTTTTTCAGGTAATTTGTTTTTGTCTTTAGTCCTAGGTAACACTTAGAGCAAATAATCTGAATCTTCTTTCAGTAGAATAGTACTAAAGTACCAAGCTTTGCTTATCCATATTTTTTTGTAATTAAATCTCATCTCTGTTATAATTATAAAGAAACTGTTCTCATTCATCATTGGTTAGGTCAGATTTCCATTCTCAGGAACTCTCCTATTCACATACTTCAGTCTTCTTTTAAGGTCTGATTTTCTTAGCTATTTTGAGTGCTGGGCAAAATAGAAATGTGGCGATAAATTTGATAGATAAATAAAGTACTAACGCAGTCTAACCTACTAAATAGTTTTAACTCAATTAAAGTTTGGATAGTGTGGGCCAGTGTTTCCCAACCTCGACACTTGAAGATCTGTGGACTTCAACTCCCAGAATTCCCTAGCCAGCATAGCATAACTGAAGTCCACACATCTTCAAATGGCTAAAGCTGGGAAACATTGTTATAGTTTGCTGTCCTTTGTCAAAAATTCAGAAAGCCAAACTGAATCCAAATCCATTTTTCCTTCTAGTTGTATGGCAGAGAGAAAAAGGAGAAAGTCACCATAAATTTTCATTCAGGCTTAGGCCTGTAATGCTAAATTTAGCAATATGTGGAAACACATAGTAAACCCATAAAAACAACTGCTATCCCCACTCATCCTTCTCTGCATTAAACTAGACATACCCAATTCCAGCAACTGTTCCTTATATGTTTTAGCTTCCAGTCCCCTGATCATCTTTGTTGCACTTTTGTGTACTCTTTCTAGATTCTCAACATCTTTTTTACATTGTGGTGACCAAAACTGGATATAGTATTCCAAGTGTGGCTTTACCAAGGCATTGTAAAGTGGTATTCACGTGATCTTGATTCTATCCCTCTGTTAATGCAGCCTAGCACTGTGTTGGCTTTTTTGGCAGCTGCAGCACATTGCTGGCTCATATTTAAGTGATTGTCCACTAGGACTCCGAGATCCCTCTCACAGTTAGTACAACTGAGCAAGATACCACCTATACCAGGGGTGTCAAACTGCCAGCCCATGGGCTAGACGTGTCATGCAGAAGCTGTGCCCACTCCACTGCCGGCAATGGCAAAACTCTCCCGATATGTTGTGCAACATCATGTGACATCATGAGTTTGACATGTCTGACTGTTAGAGAATTTTTAATTTCTCTATTGGTGAGAAATAAATCAGAAGCTCTCACAGTTGACTGCATTTAGCTGATTCAAATAACTTTATATTTATATAAAAATATTTACAATACCATTCTTCTTTACAGCAACATAGCTTAATGAAGATTTCTTACAGAGATAGACCAGAGACAAAACTTTGAGACTGGAAATCCAGCTCCTAACTCAATACTCTTTTGCACAGACTCAATAGCACTTTCTTCACATTGGCTGACTGAGTTACCACATGACTCTTCCTATTCATGAATATTCCAACAGTGACCTATACTGTACTTGTGCATTTTTATTTTTGCCTAAATGTAGAACCTTTCTTTTTTCACCATTGACTTTCATTTTGTTAGATAGCACCATGGGTATGGGTATAGCAAATTGCTAGGGGACAGCAATGTTAGTATCATCATACCTTGTTTCTGTCTACAGGAGAGTAAAGAAGGACATATAGGGTTATATAGTTGAGCACTTAAAAAGACTTTATTCTGAAGACAAACTGCCTGCTTGGCAAGGTTAAAAGGAGCAAAAGATGAGGAAGTCAATGGAAAAGATGGTTGAAATAAACAAATGGATTGCCCCCTGGAAAAACTGCAAGTTATTACTTCCCAAAGCTTTATGTTGAATGAGCAACCATAAAAATTGAAGAAACAAATGAAGATAGTAAGTATTTATTTAGAAAATCACCAGCAGTCCAACTTGATGGCAACTGACAACTAATCAAAAATTTATATTTTCTTATTTTCTTTTTTCCTTTTCCTTTTCCTTTTCCCTCCCTCCCTTCCTTCCTTCCTTCCTTCCTTCCTTCCTTCCTTCCTTCCTTCCTTCCTTCCTGCCTGCCTGCCTGCCTGCCTGCCTGCCTATTTGCCTGCATTTATTTATCACATTTTGAAATCCTGCTCCATCTCCCTCAGAGTTTGGTGGTGTTTTTTAGATTTAGAGGTGAAGTACCATATATTCCGGCGTATAAGACGACTGGGCGTATAAGACGACCCCCAACTTTTCCAGTTAAAATATAGAGTTTGGGCTATACTCGCCGTATAAGACTACCCTTCTTCCAACGCACACCAAATAAAAATTAAAAAACATCAGATTTGATTTCAATATGGTAATTTTAATTCAAATGCTTATGACACACAGGAACTTAGCAGGAAAACTGTCACTTATAAACATAAGGCTGCTTGTCATCAAACATGTAAACATAAAACAGTGCAAGTGATTAAACTTTTCCTAATTCACTCTAAAGCTGAAAGGAAGGATAAGACAATAAACCCATTGGAGCTGCCATGCTATTTGTTTTCTAAGCTGTCAACCAAACTGGAACTGATGATGATAGGAGGAAGATAACAAACAATAGAGAGAGCAAGGGCAAGTCCCTGGCGAGTCAGCAACGCCCATCATAAATGCAAGCTATTTTTACAGATTTTGCTGGCATGTTACTTTCCCTTTAAAAGCCTTTAAAATCATCCTGTTCATCATCTGATATCATAAAAATATCAATGACATCTTGTGATACATTTGCAAGGCAGTCATCGTATGGATCGAATTCCGTATCAGATGGTGTGGTCTCAGCTTCGGCTTCCTCTTCCTCTTGCCACAAGTAGTCGTCCTCCATACCATCTAATGAATTTGATATGCCACACTTCTTGAAAGACTTGATTATTGTTTCTGAATCAATATCATTCCAGGCTTTTATGACAAACTTGCACAAAACATCCAATTGTGGAGCACGCATGTTTCCTCCTTTTGTGAATGACTTTTCGCCGCTAACCATTCATTCATTCCACTGTTCTCGAATGCGATCTTTAAATGGCTTGTTTAGGCACACATCCAATGGCTGTACTAACGATGTCAATCCTGCAGGAATAACTGCCGCATGTGTGTTTAGTCTTGCAAGCCTTTGCTTGGTGCTGGGAGTTAAATGAGCCCTGAACATATCCCACACCAGTAGACTACGCTTTTGAATAAGTCCACCTGGTCACCTGCTCCATACATTATCAAGCCATAGCTTTACCCCTTCTTCATCCATCCAGCCTTTTTCATTCACATGTACAAAACAACCAACAGGGAACTTGAGTTTCGGCATTGTTTTTCTTTTAAAAATAATCATTGGTCTCAGTTTGGCACCATCAGCTGTGCATGCTAGTACCACTGTAAAACTGGACTTCTCATGTCCTGTTGTTTTAATTAAAATTGTTTTTTCACCTTTTTGATGGACAGTTTTATTTCCAACCATATCAAAATTCATTGGAGTTTCATCCATATTTCCAATGGATGCATAGCCATGTTTAATGCACTGTTGTATTACGTATTGATGGAAACTAATTACTTTGCTATCAAGATCTGCAGGTAATTTTTGTGCAATTTTCGTCTTTTGCCTTAGTACCATATTATGCCTTTCCAAGAATCTAGTACACCAGGATGCAGTGGCCTTAAATCTGTTGCTGTGATCTGGGTTAGATTTGGCCCACTGCAAACAAACGTATTTTATTTCGTGTCACTACATAACCATTTTGGCGATGCTCATTCACCATGTCTGCTACATGTTTTTCGAGTTCTGGCCAATGTGGGGTGCCTCTTCTTAATGCACACTTACCCCTTGGCATACTCTTTAATGCTTTTTCATTTGCTTTCCAGTCCCGAACCATCTTTTCTGTTACTCCATATTGTCTTGCAGCAGCGCAGTTATTATGTTCCATGGCAAAGTTTACAACTTTAAGTTTGAAACTGGCTTCATATTTCTTTCTTCTTGCTGGTGGAGCCATGATGGGGTCTTGACTATTGGACATTTGTATACTGTACTGTATGTATTGGTGCTATATTGTATGAACTGGTACAGATACTGGTGCTGTACTGTATGTACCCAGTATACAACAACCAGCCAATCACGACAAGCGATGAACCTTACCAGTGATTGGCTGGTTGTTATATACAAAGCCTGCTTGGATTGGGTGGGTCAGCTCTCCCTGCCTGCCCAACCCTTCCTGTCATCTTATAGGTCAGGGATAGGCAACCTTGGCTCTTTTATGACTCATGGACTTCAACTCCCAGAATTCCTGAGCCAGCATAGCTGGCTCAGGAATTCTGGGAGTTAAAGTCCATGAGTTATAAAAGAGCCAAGGTTGCCTACCCCTGTATAGGCCCTAGGGGAAAAATGGACAAGCTAATTCCATGAGGAAGGGGGGAAAGGGAGCGCAGTTTCTGAGTTCTCATTGGCCACCTGTAGTCCAAATGAGTAGCTCAGGGTGTGTGCGTGCGCGTGTAGGCATGCGTGTGACTCCCCGGGTCCCTTCCATTGCCCCCCCCCAGTAGCAAGCTTTGGTTTGGAGCAAGCAGGCTGCACATAGGGATCTCCTCCTCTCAGTCTTCCACCCTGCGAATCCTCCACAGCCTCCCAGAGCTGAGTGAGCAGAAAGCCTGCCTGTTTGTCAAAGGCTCTGCCTTGTCAATCGCACACACACCTTGATGAAAATTGCCCTGCCTGCAAAAGGACTTCTCAGCAGTTTTTTTAAAGCAACACTACCAAGAATGAAATTGGCGACAGCCAGAATGTTTAGGGAAGAAGAAAAGGAAGCAGTTAATAAACCGAGTAAGAAAGGCATTTGCCCTTCGAAAACTTGCATTTCCACAAATGTGATAAGTTGCCCCTTTCCAAGTAATGGGGGGGGGAGTAAAGGCTTTCCTTTTAATTTGTTATTAAAACTCAGTGCACTACAGTACTTATAGATGGGAGCCAGATTGACCAGCCAGGATCTGTCATAAATAACACCACAAATGCACCATGCAAGTTTATTTAGGCGGGTGGGGGGAAACTGCTTGCACAAGCTCGGTGGAAGTCGACCGGCGAAAGGATTGTGTAGCTGTTTTCTGTCCTCACTCCATTCCTGCTTTGTAAATCCGAGAGGAATTTAGCTGATACCCCTCCCCTTCCAGACCCATAAGCTCCGCCTCCCCCAAGCTACTCTCACCGGCAGTGAGAGGTAAACGCTGAAAAGCCTGCATGAAGAAGCACTGAGATGTGCCTCGAATGGACGCAGATGCTTAAGTTTGTTTTCATTATATAAAAAAAACCACCCTACAACTCTTTTCCCCTCTTCCCCATTACATAGGCCATCCCTTTCTACTTCCTTTGAATGAATTAATCATGGGACGGCCTCTACCAATCCGCAGTTCTGGAGGGGTGGGCAAGGAATTGGGATGCAAAAGGGAGGGAAGAAGAGAGGAGACGGTTTGCAATGTAGCATTATAGAATGGGGAATAAACCTCCAGGAAATCTTACCATCACGACAGCCAGATAATGTCTATCGTATTCCCAGTATAGAGGCTGGAAAGAGATATCTTTAGTTGATCGGCTGGTTTTAATAATAACTCCAGGACTCTTTTTGAGCGAGAGAGAGGGGGGGGGGAGAGAAAACTTGCTGAGTAATATTTTTTCCGGCGTATAAGATGACCCCTGACTTTTGCGAAGATTTTAAGTGTTTAGAAAGTCGTCTTATACACCGGAATATACGGTACTTGGCATACTACATTCAGAAAGCCAGCAATAGTCCTTCTTTCCAAATTGTGCAGTTCTCATTATTCTACCTAGCAAAGAGGAGTATGCTTTCCCCCCAACATCTTTTAAAGACAATCTCATGACTACTGTACTGTTTTACGTTTTCCCTCTCAAAATCTACAAAGAAGGTAAAATTGACATTTGAGTTATTACCTTTTATATTGTTTTTTATTTCTGGTCCCAATAGTCTTCTCTTTAACAAAGCCACTTTTTGCGGATAGCTTTTTTGGCTTAACTGGTTTGATTCCCATGCTATATGGAAATATATAAAGACGATCAATATAAAATTACTTTGCTTCTATCACAATGTTATTCTGAATTTGAAAAATGCTGAAATATTTTTCACTTTAACAAGTAATAATTCTTTACATTTCTTGGTATTCATAGGATAAAAGAGACTAGAGAGATATAAAATGTGCCATTCTTAATACATTTAAAGTTGGAAAAATCTCATTTACCCATTCAGAATTTTTATCTTGGTATGTCTGAATCAAAATGAGTTTAAAATGTGCACTTTTTATGCTTATAACGATCAAATCAACTCATGTGTTTAGAGCAGCCACAAGTCATAAAAGAGCCAAGGTTGCCTACTCCTGGCTTAGAGAGTCAGATTTGTGTATGCTGTACAATCAAGACAAAAATTTGACATTTAAGATATGGCTATTATTATTACAAAAAATAATAGTAATATCTACTCTCTGAGTCCTAGGAAGAAAGTTATGGCAATCCAAAAAGCTGCATGGATTTTTCCATGTAGTCTTTAAGAGTCAAATGACTCAAAAGCTAAAAGAGTATAAAATAAAATAAATATAAAATAAAAATACTAACCCAATACCTACCATTAAATTCTGCATATAATCAGGATTTGGAGGATGTTATTACATACAGTGCATATTTTTTTAAAGAACTGTGATGTGGGTCAAAGTTTACAAATTCATCAAGTCTAAGGATTAAATCTTGGAGGTATTCCAGAAATTAAATTTAAGAATTTAATCTTGGAGGTCTTCTACTCTAACCTCCTGTTTAAGCCGGGGTTTGGACTAAAAAACCTCCGGGATATCTATTATTCTATGTTGTAAGGTGGTATCTCTAAAAGATCTCTACAGTTAAAACTATCCTGTGAGGCTTTTTGCTGACTCAAATTCCATATGTTTATAATATTTTGGGATATGTAATCAAATATAGCTGAAGGTCATTAAGTTAATCTATCTCAAGTTTTTTTTCAGGTCTAGAAGACTGTTAGTTTTTTTTTTAAACAAAAAACAAAAACCTGGAACCCTGATCAAGAAGCAAAGCTGTAGGATTCCAGGGAATGCTATTTGGAAAACACAAATCCATCTGAAGTGCTAAAAATGACTTTATGTGGCTTCTGGTTTTCCGCAGTTAGCACAACAGCCGAGGGATCACTGGCTCCACGCCCTATGGTTGTTTTTTCTCTGGGGACCCTAAATGGGCCCAAGGCCACCCCAGAGATGTGGCAAACAAGGAGGGAAGCCCCGACGATTGTGGGAGAAGGCGGTCGATCCGGATGTCCCGGAAAGCCCTCCAGAAACTGGCAGAAGAAAGGCTAGCATCATTCGTGAGTCTAGCCCAAGCTACATGCAGCCAAAGCCAAAAAGCACTAAATTAAGCGTGATCGTAAACAGCGTGATTGAACTGGGTAAGAATATTGATTCTCTCTCTTCTACCTGACTGATTTCCTAAAAAAAAAAAGGAAAAACCCCAGAAGTAAAAATCCTCCGAAACTGAGGGGAGGTTGCCCACCCTTCTCTAAACAGAAGCAGCGAATTAAATTTATGGGGAATAAAGATACAGAAATTAAATTAATAGAAGATTTAAACCTGTAAAATGTGAAATCAATGGAATTTATTAAGAATTTCCTGGCAAAGGATTATTGACAGAGATAAAAGTCTTATTTGTTTTGAAAATTGAAAGATGGACTGGTGCTGACATCTAGTAGTAGACGAAAATACTGCCCTAAATATACAGCCCAGGGGAAAAAATCCTGATATTGTGACTTTCAAAGCCTTAACTAAACAAAAAACAGCTGTAATAATAAAAGAGAACACTGTGGACCATCTACAAAAATTGACCTTCCAGGACTATAAATACTTTTTAAACTGTGACTTTAAAGTGATTGACAAAGAAAGGATTTTTGGTCATTATGGAGCATTAGAGGTCTGCAGAAAGAACGTACTAAGAAAAAATAAATACTTCCTAGGAGGAAATGTATGTTATATTACAACAATTACAAATGACACTAATTTCAAACCATTAGGAAATTAAAAATAAATTTGAAAACCTAAATGAATGCAACTTCAATTTAATGTTATAACAAATAAACAATCAGAAAACAAAGAGAGAGAGAGAGATCATATAAAGCAGACAACTGAATATAAACTAGAAATTTAGAGATGGAGACTCAAGTGGAGAAGAACTTATGAGAAACATTGGACATGGAAAAGAAAATTCTAAGACCACAAAATAAATTTGAGAACAAGAAAAAGGATTTGACAAGATGGATTGCAGAGCTGTTGGGAGTACTACAAGAAAGGGGTAGACAAGACATGATGAAAGAAATCTTCAATGAATATGAAGGGGCAAATTCTTTATACAAAGATATGATGTTTGATTTGCCTCTTATATCTACAACAACATTTACAAGTTATGGAAAGACTCTTTGATTCAACGGAATGAATCGACTGGGAAAGATGTTTGGCAAAAGGAGAGGGCTAAGTGAGAATTGAGGAATTAGATGATGGGGTGCATCAGAGGGAATACTTAAAAATTAAACACTTGTTCGAATATGGTTGAAGAAATAGAAAGATTTTAGTTTAAGAGGGATGAATACCCCAAGTAAGTCAGTATGTTTTCTTTTTTTCTTTTTCTCTTTTTTTTAGTTTGTTTTTTGATATGGGGAAATATAAAAATGTTTGGGATGGTTAACATAGAGGAAATGTTTTAGATATTTAAATGTAACTGATCTTAAAAATTCTAATAGATAACTAAAATGTTTTGAATAGAGTTAAAAGATTAGATGATTGATTTATTAAATGGAACATCTAAAGATTAAAAATAGGTTTAATTATGGATAAAAAGAATAGAAAAAAACAATTTGGAAATAAATGTATACTAGTTTAAGAGGGATATGTATTTTAAGTAGTTATTATTTTCTTATTCCTTTCTTTCTTTATTTTCTCTTTTTTCTTCCCTCTCCTTTTCTTTTTTTATGTTTATTTGGTGTCTTTTTTTACTTACTTTTTAAGATATGAAAATAGACTTATATATTTAAATGTAATTAACCTTGAGAAATTTTTAATCAGTAAGAATGTTTTGAACATTATAGGGAAAACAAATTTAAATAAGAATTGAAAATAGTATTCATGATGAGGCAACCAAGATGACTAGACAGAAAAGAAGCATGATATTGATTATTATTGGTAGAAATTTCAGAAAAATATATATATTTAAATTGTTACCTATTGAATTAATAAGAATTGTATTAATTCAAGGTTGGCAAAGAGAATATTATTGGAAGAAGAGGAAATCAAGCAAAGTTATTATGTAGACTTTGGAATATAAAAACTGATTGTTAGTGATTACTTTGTAAATATAAGCCCAGACAACACACAGTTTATCAAATATTAAGGTATATCTTAAAAAATCAATAAAATGTATTTAAAAAAAATGACTTTATGTGCAATAAAATAAATCCATACTCTGTTATTAATCACTGATTAATCATAATTGTCTTTAAAATCAACACATCCACAATATCTAAAATATAATATAAATCTGATACTGCAATCTCATCCATTTTTAAGAAAATAAATTTCAGAATTATTTTCACTAAGTCAACTGTATAGATTACCTGGTCTTGAAGGATGGGCAGAATAGTCATGGAACCTAGTAGTGCCACAGGGTTGAGGCAAGAATATTGACAAGCCTCTGAACCTTTCAGCTACAAATTAAAATACAACACAATATCTAAGAGAACAAGCAAGAAATATTTAATTCTAATAAAAAATAATGCTAAGAAAATCAGATATTTTAAAATAAGAAAATGTAAGATATTTATTTCCATTTTCTGATTAAAATTTCAGACTCCAACTAAAATAGTAAACAAAATAATGGGCAAAATGTTTGTAAATATGTAACAACAAAGTTGAAAAGGGGATGTTTTATGTAGTATTAGCTTCCTATTAATTAGTTTCTTTACACAAATTACCTCAGAATATTATACTCTCAGAATATTGGAGAATAAAATTTGAAGTAATTTAAATTCTAAAAAAATAAAAAACATACAGAGGATTTTAAGCTTCTCATGTTGTTTTAAAATTTGATTGTTCTTCTTTGCCTCTGGACAATGTACATGAACACAGAATCTACACAGAATTTTATTTGGCATCTACCATTGTTTTGCCTTCTTTCTTACTGGACCTCCCATTAGTTTAGCATACTATCTTCATAACTTACACAGATATTCACAGAGATCTCACTTTCATACTGAGCATAATATTCTTCTTCAATTTTCTTTATTTGGTTAGTTATGCTGGTCCTATTTCCACCCAAAGTCTCTCCAAAATAAAATCGCAAGACTGCCACCACCAGTGGCGATGATACTCATTTTTATTGCTTTTTTATTGCATTTCTCTTCAAGAGCATTAAGGAATAATGACATTATAGCAGTCAATATTTGTGTGGCATCATTGCGAAGAATTTTAAAAAGAGCTAACACTTCCTTTGGTTTAATGATTTTATCTTCCCATGCTTCATTAGATACCTAACCTATCTTTTGCAATTAAATGATTGATTAACAATGTCAATCATCCTTATGTGTAATGTGTAGAAATCATGAAAATATCTACTTTGTATTGCCTCTAGATTGTTTTGTCTTTGAACAAACATTCCGGGTTCCTTGGGCTTCTGCAACAATTTGGGGCAACTAGAGGAAAAGATGAGTAAAAATTGCTTATTGGGATGATTGATCCAAATCTTTGTTAGATAATCTGTCATATATGGTCTTTCAATTGGTTAGAAGTAGTCCATTGAACAACTTACAAGATGGACATGTTGTGGGTAGTTTAGTGATTGGGTAACTATTACTGTTCCATAGCGGATACGATTACTGGATATGGTTATTGTTTCCATATAGAAATAAGTCATTTGAAAATCTTTTTTGATACATGCTATTACTAAAGATAATATCAATAACAAGCACTGCCTATGTCTAATTCTCATTGCTTTGTAAGCTATATTCTTTAGTTAATTAGTTATTTGGTAGGTCAATATCCTGCCTTTCCTTTAAGAGCTCAAGTAAAATACATATATAGCATTCCTTCTCCACTTTAACTCACAGCAAAAAAAATTATGAGAGAAACAGATTAGATACATCCTGACTTTCTATAAAGATCTCAACCACTGTAAAAAGCATTCCCTCTTCCATTTCCCCCCACAACAACTACATTGTAAGGGTAAGAAAATGTGACTTGCCAAATGAGAGTTTCTATGATAAACTTAAGCCTGGATCTCCCTGCTTCTAGTCTAACATCTTAACCACTAGACTACATTAGCTAATACTGGGCTAAATTGCCTAACCACAGCTCTCTATGCTCTTAATAATCTCACTAGATCACTGCTATACATTTTATGTACTGTTATGTTTAGCCTTGCACACAAAACTACAGCTAGTATAGAACACAGAAGCCAATGGGGAAACTAAGTGCAATCTTGTGCCACTCAGCTTTTTAAAAATGTATTGGCTATGGGCTTCCGGTGGTGTAGCGCTGGCGATGGCGGCTACTTTGTAGCCGTCCTCCTGAGACAGCGTTAAAACCGCTGAGAACAGCAGGCATCAGCTGTTCCGCGGTTTGAAACCTCCTTCCCAGGCCAAGGGAGGGAGGGGAGTTTCACCCTGAATAGTGGTTGAGCCTCTGAGATCCCCAAAGGAGTTTCTTTTGGGGTGAAAGGAATGCTCCCACAGAGTTCAGGGTGTCTCCGCTTCTCAGGTGCCTTTGTCCCTTGTTGTTTGGGACAAAGCAAAACGCCGCTCCCACCTCCGCGCTTAAAGAGAACTGGTGAGTTATTTAAAAAGCGGACAGAGCTGATTAGAGGATTTTATTTTTTGATTTTACTTGGATTTTAAGTTTGGATTTCAAGTTTAAAGAGTTACTTTCATTTTCTTTTTTTTCCTTTGTTGAGAGGGAAAGTAAAATGGCGATTTGAAGTTTTTTCTTTTAAGGAGATGGAATGGATTTTGTCTATTTAATTATTATTATTATTTTTTCTCTCTTTTTTCCTATTTCTCTTTTTCTTATTACAATGATTTTTTTGAAGGAGGATTTGGGTTTTTTTGAGTTAATCTCCCTCTCTTTTATTTAACTCTTTTTTTCTTTTTTTTGTATTTTTTAAGAAGGAGGAAAGAGGAAAATAAATTTTTTTTCTTTTAAGATGGCTTCAAAACGCCCAGTAATTTCTACAATTCCTAAGGTGGTTTCTTCTTCGGTGATATTACCAGTGCAACACCCTAAATCAATATTATTACCCTCTTCTCCTGCACAGTCACTAACGGTAAAAGATTTGCAAGATGTAATGGGAAATGCTATATCTCAAATTAGGGGAGAAGTGAAAGAGATTTTAGTGGAAAATAACAGGATCTTGAGGCAAGATATAGTTTTGGCTTTAAAAGGACTTGCCTCTGTTGTTGAAAAGTTGGATTTTCGTGTTGAAGAAGTTGAAGATAAAGTGGAGGTCTTGGAGGGAAAATTTGATGGCATGGAAAAAAAGATGGAAAATTTTCAAGATGAGATTCTTATGTTTCAATATAGAGAGATGGAATTCGCTTTAAGAATCAGAGGCTTGAGTGAACATCCGCAAGGAGATCTGAGAGAGATGATTGCAAATGATTTTGTTGTGATTTTGGATAGAGAAAAAGAGGAAATACTCAGAGAAATTGAAAAAATATTTAGAGTTAACTCTTGGGTTGCAAAGCAAAGAAATCTGCCAAGAGATGTGGTAATTTACTTTGGGAAAAGATCCCTACGCAATGAAATTATACAAGTTTTTTACAATAAGAGGTTTCAGATTGCTGCACAAGATGTTATAATTTTAAAGGAGATTCCATCTAAAATTTTAAGAAGAAGAAAGGAGTTTGCTTTTTTAGCAGATGAACTTAAAAAGAGGCAGATGCCGTTCAGGTAGGATATCCCGATTGGAATAGTGGTGAGCTATGCGGGGACACGTTATAGACTTAATACTGTTTTTAAAGCAAAGGAGTTTTATACTTCGGTCCTGGGAGCATGCTCATCGTCACCTATAATGTTTAAAGTCTTGGAAGAGAAGAAGGTAGAATTGCAGTCTGAAGAAGCTGTATTGATGAAAGTTGGAAAATCACAGACTGAGGGGTCTCAACAAGTGGAGATGAAAGAGCAGAGAATGACTCGGGCAGCATATAAACGCAAGGAAGAGGAACAACAGAAGAAGGAGGCTAAGGAAGTTTTACAAGAATTTGTTTCTGAGTCTGTGGGAGAAGCAAGACCTAAGAGTTCTTTGGCACAATCTTCAATGGTAGATCTTCAAGCAGTTTTTTCGAGGTTATTGGTTAAGAGAGATGGGTAAAGAATGTACAGATTGCTTCAAGGTTATTGACAGATTATAGTCCATTGCGGATGGAACTGGTCATTGGAAAAGAGGAGAGAAGATTATGGAGATTGAATGAAAACTTTAGATAAGAAGTGTATGTTTAGAAATTTAAGGAGCATTTAAAGGAATATTTTGTTTTAAATATGTATAAGGGAATTTCAATGGTACAATTAATGTTTATATGTGTATTTTGGATTGTGATGACAAAGAAAGAGGGATAAATTTTATATAATATATGTATGATATTAGGGAGATTGAATGAAAATTTTAGATAAGTAGTGCATGCTTAGAAACTTAAGGAGTATTTAAAGGAATATTTTGTTTTAAATACGTGTAAGGGAATTTTAATGGTACAAGCAATGTTTATATGTGTGTTTTTGATGGTGATAACAAAGAAAGATGGATAAACTTTATATAATATAAGTATGATATTAGAAAATATTGTTTAGCTTTTTGAATAATTTATACTTAAAGTTTATAATATTTTAATGGTGGATTAGATTCTAACTAATTCACTTTATATGCAATATGATATTTTGTAATGTTATTAAGTTAGAGAGATGATTGGTTTATTAATTGTGAAAGAAACGGAAGTTTTGAATTATAGATATGGATAAATTTTATACAATATAAGTATGATATAAGAGAATACCATCTAGCTTTTGAATAATTTACATTTAATTTTCCTCTTTCTGTTCTTTATATATAATGGAGTTAAAGTATTTTACAATTTGTTTACTGATTGTAACTATATTTGTTTAAGGTTTATTTGGGTTTAAAAAATTTTTTTTTTCGTTTTTTTCTTTTAAGTTCTAGTTAAGCCTGTATTCAGCTCTGGGAAGATTGGGGGAGGGTTTTGGGGTGGGTTGGGAGGGACTGGGGAAGGGGATTTTACTGTAAAAATTTTAAACATTTTCAATAAAAAATGTATTGGCTGTCTATGAGCTGCTGGACTGTTCTTGTTTGTTTCTTTGATATCATTCAGCCATTTCTGATTCTTCATGACTTAAATAGACTTAAGAATGTTTGTTATTGTCTGCTTCTTTTGCATTCTTGTAAACCAGACATGTCAAACACTAGGCCCGGGGGCCGGATGCAGGCCCGCAATGTGGTTTTATGTGGCCCACAAAGCAGTGAGGGAACGGCCCCCGCTGCCTTGGCCCTGGTCAGCTGGGAGCCAATGTACAATTTTGTGGTGGCCATCTATGCTGAAACGCATTGAGTCTTAGCTCCAGAAGGCCGTCTGGAAACAGCAAGGAACCAGGCCCTACCCCCTGGGTGCATGCTGGGGAGGTGTCACCCTTTGTGAGGAATGAAGAAATGCACCATTGCTTAGAAGTGGCCAGCAAATGGCCCTCACCTACTTCACATATCTGGCTTGGTGGGCTCCAGGGGAAGAGTTTCAGCAAGCAGCAGGACGCTCTCCTCACAACGCCAAGAGGCTGAGCCAGACGGTGCGAATTCAAAAAGAAATGTGCTACTGCTCAGCCCCCAGCCTGCCCGATTTCAGCAGACAGCAAGGTGCAAAGCTGGCAAGCTTCGCACTGTCCGGCTCAGCCTCTCGGCACTGTGAGGAGAGCACCTCGCTGCCTGCCGAAACCGGGCAGGCTGGGGTCTGCGCGGCATTGTGCAAGTAACGTTGACTCTCATATTGTCCGAAATGGTATAGGGTTACCTGCTTGAGCAGGGGGTTAGACTTGATGACTTCCAAGGTCCCTTCCAACTTTATTATTATTATTATTATTATTACTATTACTATTATTATTATGGTGTCCCATCCCCCAAGATTCACCAAGCCAGATATGTGAAGTAGGTGAGGGCATTGTGCTGGCCACTTCCAGACGATGGTGCATTTCTTCATTCCTCACAAAGAGTGACACCTCCCCAGTTGCGTTTCTTGCCTGTTTTTCTCCCTCCCTCATCTCAAATATTTTCCCACCATTCTGTTATAGGAAGGAAGGAAGGAAGGAAGGAAGGAAGGAAGGAAGGAAGGAAGGAAGGAAGGAAGGAAGGAAGGAAGGAAGGAAGGAGAGGGAGGATCTGAGGGAAGTCCTGCCTTAGTCCTGCCCTGCTGCCCTTTCACCATCCCCTTGCCCCCTCCTCCTGGCCTATCCTGGGGGGGGGGGGTCTCTCATCCTATTGCTAAGAAAGCTTTGGATACAAAGCCGGGTCTCCTCCCATGGAGAGGGAATGGGCCTCCCTTTGACTTTGCCCTTGTACCCATCATGAGCAATCTGGGTAAGAGAGCAAGCACAGCAGCAGTAGCCTTGAGGAGGAGGTAAGTGCAGCTGGGTGCTCCCTTGGGGAAGTGGGGCTGGCCTTGGTGCCGTGGGTGCTCGAGGGCCAGGTTGGGCATTTGACCTCTGCTGCCCAGAGCTCTGGGCAGCCCACACCACCATTCAGCCCCCCTGCATGGCCTGAGAGGAACAGTGAGGCTCCTCCAGTGGATCATGCCTTGGCATTTTCCACGGTCCCACTGCCTTCTGCCAGAGACCCTCAGATCTGTCCTACTCCTGCCCAGGCCCCCACAGGCACCCTTAACATGAATGATGTAGAGATGGCTACACTCACTCCAGTCAAACCAACCCAGTAGGCCACGCCCACCCTGGCCATACCTACCTGCCCCCCCCCAAGGACAACCGCAATGCTGATGTGGCCCTCAATGAAATTGAGTTTGACACCATCATAATTCAAAGACATTTTTTTATTTCTTTTTCATTCAGTCTTTCTGAATACAAAAAATGCAGGCATATAGTGTGGGTAAAAATTATTTGATTTCCTGCTGATTTTGCACATTCACCCATTGACAAAGAAATGATCAGTCTATAATTTTAATGGTAGGTTTATTTTAACAGTGAGAGACAGAATAACAAAAAAAAAATCAAAACAAAAATTCAAAAAAGTTAAAAATTGATTTACATTTTAATGAATGAAATAAGTATTTGATCCCCTATCAATAAACAAGATTTCTGGCTCCCAGGTGTCTTTTATACAGATAATGAGCTGATATTAGGAACACTCTCTTAAAGGGAGTGCTCCTAATCTCAGCTTGTTACCTGTATAAAAGACACTTGTCCATAGAAGCAACCAATCAATCAAATTCCAAACTCTCCACCATGGGCAAGACCAAAGAGTTGTCCAAGGACATCAGGGAAAAGATTGTAGACCTACACAAGGCTGGAATGGGTTACAAGACCAAACAGCTTGGTGAGAAGGAGACAACAGTTGGTGCGATTATGCGCAAATGGAAGAAACACAAAATAACTGTCAGTCTCCCTCGGTCTGGGGCTCCATGTAAGATCTCACCTCGTAGAGTTGCAATGTTCATGAGAATGGTGAGGAATCAGCCCAGAACTACAGGGTAGGGTCTTGTCAATGATCTCAAGGCAGCTGCGACCATAGTCACCAAGAAAACAATTGGTAACACGCTATGCCGTGAAGGACTGAAATCCTGCAGCGCCTGCAAGATCCCCCTGTTCAAGAAAGTACATGTACAAGCCTGTCTAAAGTTTGCCAATGAAATATGAATGATTCAGAGGAGAACTGGGTGAAAGTGTTGTGGTCAGATGAGACCAAAATCAAGCTCTTTGGCATCAACTCAACTCGCTGTGTTTGGAGGAAGAGGAATGCTGCCTGTGACTGAAGAATACCATCCCCACATCAAACATGGAGATGGAAACATTATGCTTTGGGGGTGTTTTTCTGCTAAGGGGACAAGACAACTGCACAGCATCAAAGGGATGATGGATGGGGCCATGTATGTCAAATCTTGGGTGAGAACCTCCTTCCCTCAACCATGGCATTGAAAATGGGTTATGGATGGGTATTTCAGCATCACAGTGATCCAAAACACATGGCCAAGGGAACAAAGTGGCTCAAGAAGCATATTAAGGTTCTGGAGGGGCCTAGCCAGTCTCCAGACCTTAATCCCATAGAAAATTTATGGAGGAGTTGAAGGTTCAAGCTGCCAAACATCAGCCTTGAAACCTTAATGACTCAGAGAGGATCTGCAAAGAGGAGTGGGACAAAATTCCTCCTGATGTGTGTGCAAACCTGATGGCCAACTACAAGAAATATCTGACGTCTGTGATTGCCAACAAGGGTTTTGCCATCAAGTACTAAGTCATGTTTTGCAAAGGGGTTAAATACCAATTTCACTCATTATAATGCAAATCAATTTATAACTTTTTTGAAATGCGTTTTTCTGGATTTTTTTGTTATTCTGTCTCTCACCACTGTTAAAATAAACCTATCATTAAAATTATAGACTGATCATATCTTTATTAGTGGGCAAATGTACAAAATCAGCAGAGGATCAAATATTTTTTTCCTCACTGTAATTTAAAAAGTGCATATTCTCTCTCAAAAAAAGAAAAAAAATACAGATTTTATAAATAGCAGAAATCTGCAGATGTTGCAGTCAGATACATTTCTAACAACAGAAAAAGTTGAATTTTCAATTTTGGAAATCAACTAAGAAACATGAATGAAGGCAAATATATGTGTCCCAGGATAATGTTGCAGGATCTAATCTGTGTCAGTCACCAGGACCAGAGGTTTTTAGTCTTCCAAGCTTTCAGACTTGTACTGGAGCCCATCTTTAGGGAATTTCTGTCTAGAAGTTCCCTGAGGGAGGGCTCCAGCATGAGTCTGAAAACTCGGAAGATAAAACCTCTGGTCCCAGTGACTGACCCAGACTGGATCTTTCAACTAAGAAATCAGTTAAAATATATTCAAAATATGAAAGAAATAGTTCACCATTCAAAATATCTAACTCTCAGACTTCTCTATGATTTTAAACTGAGTAATTCACAATAGGAAAGAAAAACTCACTTGATTTCCTGGGCATGTAATAATGAATCTGAATGCATATTTGTATACATTATTAAACAAATAACCTACCAAGATTAACCTGTTGTTGTAATATCTTTCGCTGTGTAAGTTGCCATGCATGCTGCAGATTTGTTTTATGGCCTGGAAGCAGACTCCTGTTATATTCTAGTATTTCTTGCAATGCAACATTGGCTGAAAATAAGATAAACTTAAGTTTTAAAAAAGCTATTATTCAACCAAAATCCTGTACTTTCTTTTATGCAGATTCAATAACTCTGTCTACTGTAATGCTCTGGCCTGATTCTATCCTTTCTATAACATTAAGAAAGCATATATCTGTCTTTGCCAATAATATTTCTGTTTTCATAGTGAACTTATGCCTATAATGAGTGAATTAATATAAGTTCAGCATTTTGTCCTAGAAACAGAAGACAAAAGCAAGAATAATTCTATAATTATTTATGTTGCTTCAAGCAAAGTTTAACTATGCTTCTTATCAGTTTGATTTATCTTATTGTATTATTTATATGCATTTGCTTGTACATATTCACTCACTCATATTTTAGATGTAATTGAAGAATTTTAGGTATAAGCCCTTAGGCAAACTGTGTCATTTACAGTTGCAAGTATTTTAAATCTGTCTTGATTGAACTGGTGAAACATTATACTGTCAGGGTAAAATATATTTCAAAAGTTGACTTTGATTTTTACACTTCTTTTTTTTCATTTTTTTATTCTTTATCTTTCATCTCTAACCTACATCTATGGTTTATAATAAGGGCAATCTTTTGTTAGGAAAAGAAGAGACATTTTGGCTTGTTCATTTGCAGTTTTCTTTCTGTTTTGCTACTGCAATATTTTACATTCTTTCTCTTACTCTAGGAATGGACAGTCTTCATCTAAAGAAATGTTAACTGTTAGGTAACATTCTTTTACAAGTAGAATGGAATTATATCTTTGGTTTCAATAAAGGTTTAAACCTTTTCTTTTCTTTTAACATATATTCCCAAGTCTCAAAATTCTTTTTTCTCCTTTATTCAAAGTCTAAATCAGAACTCTTTCTTTATGTCCATCCCCAATTTCCCTCAAAATATTTACCTATATACTTACAAGAAAACTTGCTGAGATCAAATGAAAAAAGATCAGACATTTTATGCAAAGACTGTGGGATAAGTTTGCTTCTACTTGACATGTCTATTTCCCTCCCTGGAAGTAAAATCATTATACTAGATTATTATAGGGAAACCAAAACATTATCCATGAATTTAAAGAGTCATTTGTATTTATAGTTATAAATAACTGTTGATATAGAGGCACAAAGCAATTTTGCATTTATATTCTGCAGTATGTCTAAATATATTTTCAAAATCAGCAATTTAATAAGCTAACAGACAACTTACATACTAATTCTATGAAAATTCAGTTATGTACAAATAAAAGTTATATCTAGAAAGTCATTACTTACTTAGAATTTTGCTCTGCTGCTCTAGATTAGAACTGGTGGGTCTTTCCTCTGATTTTGTATTATCTAGAGGACTTCTAATAACTAAAAAACAATGAAAAGAAAACATCTCTACTGAGTATGGAGGATGGTCTTAAAACTCAGAGGGAAGATCTGTTGCCAAAGTAATGAGCTAAACAAAACTTAACTTCAGACTAAGAAGGTGCTTTTTGGAAAACAACTTAGATGCCTCCCCTTCCTAACTCTGAAGTAGATAAAGACTAAACAGGGAGAGAGGAACGCATATTCCCACTTGCAAAATTCTGTCCATCTCTAGATTCTGCTACTATAGCTGTTCTAATAAAAGTAGATTTAGCTTTAGTTCTACATACAGTAAGTATTTCTTTATCTGATCTACTTTATAGGAATCACTGTTAATATAAAAAAATCATAACTGATATCTGAGGAATATTTTCCTAACTGGAGTATTATCTATAAGTTGTATTTTGTAGTAAATTAGGGGCTCCTCAGTTGGGTTTCATTATAGTCATTATATAGACAAATCTCTTGTTAACTGTTTCTAATAATAGCATGGTCTTCCAAGGACATTCCAGTATCTGACCACAACATCCTACCATACTTATTGTCTTTCCTTTTCCTTCTATCAATCTTGTGAAGTATAATCTACTTTGGCAATTTCAGGTTTTCTTTTTTTTTTAATTGAACAGTTTTATAAAAATTACAATATAAACCACACAATCAACCCACCTTAAACCCCCCCTCTCCCTCCCCCACTTCCCAGAGCTGAATACAGGGTTACAATTATAATAATCATAACCTAACTAACATTAACCAACTATACTAATAACCAAGTCCATAATGCGCTTTAACTCCCCTTTAGCATAAATATAAACAAATTAAAAGTAAACAAAATAATAATAAAAACATAAACAAACATAATATCCTAATTATTAAACTAATTATTAAACAATACAATATCCAAATTGTTAAACAATACTAATACTAAAAATAATATTCCACTATAATAAACTATTAATAATACTCTAAGATTTACTCATAAACTAAGTGGAACTTTTTAGTCCCATATTTATTCTGAATATAATCTATCCATCTTCTCTAAACCGAAATGTATCTTTCTTGTGAATGATCCTTCAAATAAGCAGAAATCTTAGCCATTTCTGCTAAGTTTGAGACTTTAAGCGTCCATTCATCTATAGTAGGCAAGCAATCCTTCTTCCAATATTGCCCTACCAATAACCTTGCTGCTGTTATCAAATTCAACATCAGTTTCTTTAGTATCACAATCTGTAATAACACCCAGTAAAAATAATTGTGGAGTATACTTTATCTTTCTCTTAAAAATCTTTTGAATGTTCCACTAAATCTTAATCCAAAAAGCTTTTATATTTTTACAAGTCCACCAGATATGAAAATAAGTAGCATCCAAACTACCACATCTCCAACATTTGGGCTGTAAATTAGGATACATACAAGACAACTTTTTAGGATCCAGATGCCATCTATAGAACATTTTGTAAAAAATTTCTCTTAAATTTTGGGCCTGAGTAAATTTTACATTTCCAACCCAAATTACCTCCTATATACAGCGAAATCGGTTCTTGAATATTTTGGGCCCATTTTACCATACAATCTTTAACTAATTCCATTTCCGAATCCAATTCTATTAAAGCATTATAAATTCTCTTTATATGTGCTCGATTTTGATCTTTAATCTGTTTTACCAAATTCTCCTCCATTAATGTAATACCAACCTTTTGATCTAACTTCCACCTAACCAACAATTGAGTATACTAAACCAAGACTGTACAATATTTTCTTGCTTTAACTCAGCTAACGATTTTAAATGCCAATCATTCCCTACCAATCTAAGTAACTCCTTATAAGAAATCCTATCCAAATTCACACCCATAGATACCCCCTCTATCGCGTGTCCAGGAATCCCCCAGATTGGTATTTTATAATTTAACTTATAATAATACTTTTTCCAGACACGCAATAAAGCACTTCTTAAAATATGAGATTTAAAAACCTTGTCAACTTTTTTTATTATAAATTAGGTATGCATGCCACCCATATAATAAATCCCATCCCTCAAGATGAAGTATACTTTTATTTGTTAAATTAAGCCAATCACTAACTAATGTTAAAACCACCGCATCATAGTATAATTTCAAATTAGGCACCTTAAGTCCTCCTCTTTCCTGTGTGTCTTGTAAGATCTTAAATTTAATTCTTGATTTTTTCCCCGCCCAAATATATTTATTAACACCCTTCTGCCATTCATCCAAATTGGTGTCTTTTTTCAAAATAGGTATCATTTGAAACAAGAAGAGAAACTTTGTAGAACATTCATTTTAACAGCTGAAATTTTCCCCAACAAGGATAATTGTAATTTTTCCAATTGTTTAAGTCCTTTTGCTCTTTAAACCATAATACCTCATAATTATTTTTATACAATTTTACATTAGAAGCTGTAATATATACTCCCAAATATTTAACCTTTTTCACTATTTCGAATTGAACTAATATTTCCTTTTCCTTCATAGTCATATTTTTAGATAATTTTTAGTCTTATTAGTATTTACTTTAAAACCAGAAACTTTCCCATATTGAGTTATAACTTCCATCAAGTCTAAAACCGATTGAATCGGTTGAGATAATGTCACAACCAAGTCATCCACAAAAGCTCTCAATCTATAATCATTCTGTTTTATTTTTATTCCCTTTATTATAGTTGATTCACAAATTTTAATCAGTAAAATCTCCAGTGTTAAAACAAACAACAATGGTGATAGTGGACATCCCTGTCTTGTACCCTTTTCAATTTTAAATGCCTCTGTTAATCCCCCATTTATTATGATTTGTGCCAATTGTTGTTGATATATAGCCCTAAGAGAATATAAAAAATTATCCCCGAAATTCATTTTATCAACAACTTTCAATAAAAATTGCCAATTCAACTGATCAAAAAAGCTTTTTCAGCATCCAAAAATATCAATGCCGCAGGAACTTAGTTGTTCTTATCCAAATACTCAGTTAAATTAACAATTTGTCTTACATTATATTTCATATATCTTCCAATTATAAATCCAGACTGATCACTATGAATCATTTACTTCAATACTTGCATTAATCTATTTGCCAATATTTTTGAGAAAATCTTATAATCTGTATTCAAAAGAGATATAGGTCTATAATTCTTAGGCTGGGTAAGGTCTTGATCCTCCTTTGGAATCAGCGATATAAAAGCCCTTCTCCATGACGGAGGCACTTCTCCCCCAATCTGGATACTATTAAAAAGTTCCTTTAATGGTTCTATCATCTCTACAGATAATATTTTATAATAAATTGCTGATAATCCATCTGTACCAGGAGCCTTACCCCCTTTTAACTGTTTAATTGCCCAAATAATTTCCTCCAAAGTAATTAAACAATTCATCTCCTTTCGTTGTTCATTTGAAAGTCTAGGAAAATGTGCTGCCTGTAGGTACCTATCTATATCTAAAGGTTTTCTAAAGGTTTTCTTGATTCATGCTTCTCACACTATGTTCTGATTATGGGTCCTTGTAAACAAAGAACTTTTCTTTCAGTGACTAGACTTTATTGTGACCTTGGCTCAGCCATATTATCTCTTCAAGAGCTATTCATAATAATTGTACACTCTTCCCCAATGTGAAGTGCCTGCCATCTGGAATGTTTCTTAAGATTAAAATCCCACAAAGTAACACACACACACACACATGATGGAAACAGGCTCAGTCATACCAACTATTTGATTGGCTTCATGTCAACCTAGGGTCCAAGACGCACTGACAGAACTATATCTTTAGGGCTTTTCAGAAAAATATCAAGATGGGAAAAAGTCGTATCTCTGGAGGAATGATATTCCAAAGGGAGGGAACTGCTACAGAGAAAGCCTTTTTTCCTGGATCCCAGTAGAAATAGTTCCCTAATAGATGGGACCTGTAACATTTCTTGCTTCCCATTCTGGTGGGCTGGGAAGATGTAACTAGGGAGAAGCAGTTCTTTAAATAAGCAGGCCTTAAAAGCTGTAAGACTTTGCAAAATGGTAATCAATATAGCTTCTGAAAAACAGAGCACACACACACAAATCTTGATTCCTATAAAACTGTGTAGACTATTGCATTTTGAATCAGTTGAACCTTCTGGATATTCTTCAGGAGCAGCCCCATGTAGAACACATTACAGTAGTCCAAATGAGAGATGACAAGGATATGGGTAACTGTAAAAAGGGAATTTGGTCCAGGAAAATATGTAACTGGTGCCCAACTCACATTTTTTATTGATTACATTCTGCTGATTTAGGAGGATTTGTATCTAAATAGTGTGTTGTTGATTATGGGCACAAAAAGACAACAGCAAAGAGAATCAGACTGGACTCTTGCTGAAAAATGTAAGCTAGAGATGTCTAATTAATACTCTGAGGATCAGTAGAACCTAATTGTATGGAGGAGAGAGAAAGTGACGAAGAACAGCACTTGCTGTAGAAATTTCAAAATGGAAAACCTCAAAAATATGACTTGTTACTAGAAATGACATTTATAAAAATTGCAAAATGAGCATTACATAAGATATCTTGGCACTTTCCATGTTACAGATGACTGAAGCATCTAATATAATGCACAATGATCTTTAAACTAGCCTTTAGTAGCTGTGGAGTTCTGTGTGTTCTCTGAGCTTCGTTGTTTGCTTGCAAACATTTCATTATCAACTAGGTAATATCATTATGCCTTATATTAACCATAATTTAATCTGTTTTAGTTTTAATGATTGTAAATCACCCATCTGCTAATCATATTTGCATTATTTTCTAGACATTATGCACGTTTTGTACTTACTAGGAGGTTTGGTTATTTGTAGAGATGTAGCTGATGCCATTAATAATTGGTGATATGATGATTCAGTCTTCTGTCTAATTAGTGGGTGAAAGTGTTGCTTTGATTCTGTTTTCAAATATGTCAAGAAGAGAATAAAAATCTCAGTATGTTTTCAAATAAAATAATCCAACAAGCTTGGTAGCTATTATTTGCTCTGAGTAATAAGAATGCTTATTTTAAAAGGCTGCACAGATACATAAAAGTGACCTATAATGGCCAAAAGACATTATATTAGTGTTTTTCCAATTGAGTTCTGTTGATGTACATGATTGATAGGAAGCATATTTGCATCTCTTAATATATTAGTTTATCTATTTCATTGATTAGGAATTCTTGCAATGATCTTCTGTCCCATTCTAATTTCATTATGAATTTGCATTAATTCTGCTAATCTTTTCCTCCCCTTCTTTTTATATAAAATACAAGACTATGTAGGAAGAGATCCTTGTCAGTATGTAGTGGGCAAAATATTAGAAATCTACTAGCACCCTTTTCCAATTAAGCTTATTAAAAGGTACAAGCTACAACTCACGAAAAGTCTGCTACCAGACCTACTAGAAGACAAGAAATGTGCATGTGGTAAGACAATTAAGGTAACTTACAGTGAATTTATAATCCTTCAAATACAACCGTAATGGAGCTTGCCCACTATGGATGCATATCTCAATGGCCATTAACTAAAATATCCTCACTTAATGACTCCACCCCATGCTCTCCCTATTGCAACCATTAAACAAGTGCAGAGTGCCTCAAGGATGGGGTAGACCCGGGGAAGGCTACACAGGATCTGTGTCGCCTCAGGCCTCTCTAGGCTACCCTACCACTTGATGCACGTTATGCTCCATTTGTTGCCCTTTAGGATCCCCACAGTCCTGCAGCTTTCTTCGTACTTAGCAAGCAAGGGAACAAACAAAAGGAGATCCTACCTAAGGATTTGCAGGACTTAGCCTGTCCCAGAGCCTAGCAACAATCAACTTATTCTTCAGCTTTTTGCAGCTTCTGAGAGAGGTTATTTTGTTTGTTCCAGTGTTGTAACAAGAAAGAGAGCAAGACTGGGACTGAGAGTCCTTTTAGAGTCAAAGATTCCTACTGGATTGACTGGTGGAACCTAGCTCTAAACTGTATGTCACCTAGAATCCTACCAAGGGCAGAATTTAAGTCATGTTCTCATCACCATTTGACTGGATTGCTGAAGCTCTAGCCCTTAAGACCACTTGAAAACTATAGTACAAATTGCAGAGACTTGCATCAAGAAACACTAGACAACAGAAGCATATTTATTTATTAAATTTATTTACTATGCATCTCACGATGGGACTACTCTGGATGGCTTATAACAGTAAAAATTTAAAATTACAAAAAATATAAATACAGTAAAACAATGAAACAATAAAAATAAACAATGAAAATATAACAATATGATTAAAAGATGGACAGGGAGGGAGAAGGATGCTATTAACACCTCCAGTGTAATACTTTCCATTGGGACCCTAGGCCAACTGGCACAGCTATGTCTTCAAGCTCTTATGGAAAGACAGGAGGGTGGTACAGACCTGAGATGGGGGCACTATAGCAAACAGAGTTCTTCTCCTGGATCCTGCCAGGTGGAATTCCCTGGCTAATAGAAACTGCAGCAGGCTTCCCCAGCCAGCACGAGTGGGACAGGCTTGTCTTAGTGAAACAATGTGGTTTATCAAGAAACCAAGACCTGTGCCATGGAGGGTTTTTATCTTGAATTGTACCTGGAAACAAACCACGAGCCAGTGCAGCTCACAGAGCAGCAGTATAACATGGGCCATTCTAGAGATTCCAAAGCTGCTTGGACTGCCTCACTCTCTAACAGCTGAAGTTTCTAATGCATTTCAGAGGTAGTCCCATGTAAAACATATTGCAGTAGTCCAAATAAGAGATGACTAGAGCTTGAATGACTAAACGAAAGAGTCCTGATCCAGGAAAGGCCATAGCTGGTGCACAAACTGAAGCTGTGCAAAGACTCTCCTAGTCACCTCCACCACCTGCTCTTCAAGGAGGAGTCACAAGTTCTGTTGTAAGTTGAGGATTACCTGTATTTACTCAAATCAATTTCTTTTTTTGTTTGATCCTAAGTACAAGTAGTCATCAACTTATAGCAGTTCATTTAGTGATGGTTCGAAGTTATAAGGACACTGAAAAAAGTGACATGGCCATTTTCATACTTATGATCTTTGCAGAAACCTCATGGTCATGTGATCAAAATTCTGATAGTTGGCAACTGATTCATATTTATGATGGCTGAGTTCATGTGACAAACAAAGTCAATGGGGAAGCCAGATTCACTTACCAACCATGTTATTAACTTAGCAACTGCTGTGAGTTAATTAATAGCTATCGCAAGAAAGGTCACAAAATGGGGCAAAACTCACTTAACAAAATCACTTAGCAACAGAGGTTTTGGGCTCAATTGTGATCATAAGTAAATCTTTTTTAGGAAAAGGGTTTTACTTTAATTAAGATTAAATAATTAATGCTTAATAAAAATCTTTTTTAATTATTCCTCCTACTAGGAAGGAAATGAGAGCAATGAAACTGTCAAATCTCAGTTGGTCTTATAGGACAAGCACTTCAAATAGTATACTGTATAATAATATGTCTAGGGTTATAATTAAGACTCAACAGACAAAAAGAAATCAAGCATGCCCATTATTAAGGTTTCCTTCTGTTAAGACATATAGCATAAATATTTAACTACCCTCCTGGCCACAACTACAACAGGAGAGAATACACAACAAAAATATTTGGTCTTATAGTTTTCTCCTGTAATTCAGTAATACGAAATTCATAGACAGATTAGTAATATGACAATCATTCAAGGATTATAATTTAAGTAGAAGCAATACAATACATGTTTACAACTGGTTGCAGTATCCTGAAATCATATGACCATAATTTGCCATGGTTTTTGCCAGTTTTTTTTTTTTTTGCCTGTTTCTGGGGGAAAAAAACACCCATTCAGAAGAATAGTTTGCACTCAGACCTGTCTGATTTGTTTAATGACTACTGTAAAAATAGTTGTAAAACTAGATTTGTTATGTGGTTAGAATTTTGGTCAGGTTCTGACAGTCATAGTCAAGGCAACCACATAACCACAAAACCTAATTATATTTTCTTCTTTCATGTTTCCAACTTGGTTTCCAGTCTCCAATCACAAGTAGTACCTCCATTATAACAAATTGGAATTGTTATTAAACTCATCAACTTCCCCTTCTTCTGCATCACTGATTGAAGAATAAACTTGTATGATTGTCATATTAAATGGTTGTGCACCAATATTATTTGGTCACTGATTACACTCTATCCAAATATTATTCTTGCTATTCTCTTCTTAACTATAAAAGTAACAGCATTTCTTCTTTGTTTTATGACATTTTTTTAACAACTGGAATCACAAAAAAAAAACTTTGTATTTTTTCATTAATCAAAAAAAAATTCTAGCTCTTACTCTTTAACATAGTGAAATATGAAGGCTATTCTCAATATAGACATTTATTATTTTGGGGATATATGTTATTTTTCATAAGTGCTCACAAAATACATAAGAATTATCAATTATTTTTAATGGAAAATTTTAAGGTAAATATCTGATGGAAATTACTGGAAACTTCCATCTGGAAAGACTGATCTTGATTACCCTCCCTTCATTAAAATTGGTTTATGGAAAAACAAACAAATACAAACAAATATATATTTATCTGTGAAGCTTTTTTGAAAGACACAATCACTTGCTTGTAAGACCCTATATTTCAAAAGAAACTCTTAAAACATCCAAAAAATGATAACCAGAAATAATAACATTGTATTTACCAAGCATACCTTGCCAAATAATGTTTTTTTGTCGCAGATCTTCAATACTTGATTGCAGATATGAAAACAAATGTTTTCTCTCTTGGAAAAATTCTTTTAGTGCTTCTTTTTGCCCTAAGAACAAAAAAATAATCATCACTAAAGTATTAAATTTATATAACATGTGTTGATAACAATATAATATCTGTTGTATGAATGTAAGAAAAGCCATGTTTACCAGTGTTGCATGAAGCTTTTTACTCTTAGTAAAAAAAAAAACGCTTCTTGTTTCAACTAATTTTACTTCTCATCCTCTATTGCACAGTATGAAATTCCAATAAAACTAATCGTTTTTAGATGTAAAATATGTTATTCCCCCCTCTTTTTTTAAATCAATACTCAAGGCCCATTTTTTTTACAGAACATATGCACAATTTTCTAGGTTATATATATGACTATAACTAAGCCTATGTCAAGCTTGCTTTTACATTCCTCCTGTTTCAAACATGGTTTTTAAAAGGCAACTGGACTTTCTTGGATTTTTCCTTGAAAATATTTTACTTCTTATATTTTCAGTTCAATTCAGAACCTTTTTTAAATTTCTCTTCCTCTGCTTTTTGTTATGGTGACCTTTTGACTGTAAGCATCTTAGGTTAGGCATCTGTTCTCAATAAGCTTTAGTGTACATTTACAAAATAATATTGACTGGAATAAACAAAGATCATGTAGGTATGAAAAATATAGTATTATGTAATAACAGTGGAAAATATTGAAAAGAACTGGGCAAAATATGGATAATTATCATCTGAGAATCAGTATAAAATGATGAAATATCACATGGTGGAGAGAGATCCAAAATTTAGCATAATATAATGTTACTATGGATTATAAGTAACAGAAGCACTGTTTTTAAGGTAGAGAAGTTATTATAGTTATTTATCCTGTATATTATGAATATTTCACCTTCTTTCATTACAGGGTTTGGCCTTATGATTATAAAGATAATTATAAAGAAATCTGTGGTTTTCATTCAAATCTTACTTAGACTATCAATTATTTCTTAAACGAAAAGGGAGCCTAAAATTAGTTAAAGTTAATTTGGACTTAGGTCAATGGCATGACATGTTTTCAATGCTTACATTCTACATAATACTCCAAGTTATCTTTTTAGGATCAACAGAAGGAAAAGGCTAAATCCATTTTCAATAAGCCATTAGTTCCCCACAATATCAATATAAAATCAATCTATGTGTTTGGGGAGGATGGGGGATATCTAAATAGAGTTCCAAATTATGGACTTGGTCCAAACTAATTCAAAATTAAGTCCTTAGATGCATGCTAAAAAGCAGAAATTTCATTGCTAGGTTGAACTTGATGGCTACCTAGATTTATTTTTATACATTAATTTAAATACAGGTACTCCTTGTCTTATAACAGTTCAATTTAGTGACTGTTCAAAGTTAAAACATCACAGAAAAAAGTGACTTATGACCATTTTTCAAAAATATGCAGAATCCCCACTGTCATTTGATCAAAATTTGAACACTTGGCAACTGGCTCGTATTTATGACAGCTGCAGTGCCCTGGGGTCATGTGATTACCTTTTTTGACCTTCTGACTAGCAAAGTCAACAGGGAAGCCAAATTTACTTAACAACAATGTTATTAACTTAACAACTGAATGGATTCACTTAACAATTATGGCAAGAAAGGTCATAAAATGGGGGAAGATTCACTTAATAACTGTCTTAGCAACAGAAATTTTGGGCTCATTATGGTTGTAAATTGAGACTACCTTTAACTTAATATTATACCATTGTTCATACTTACTCTCAAGTATATTTTCTACTGAATGTTCTTTGGGATAAATTAAATGACGTCTATCAAATGAACTCTTTCTTTGTTCTTTTAGATTGTGCATTTTCTTTTCTAGATTACAATAAATGATAATAAAAGAAACAACGTATTTAAGATACTTTTTTACAATAGCACTTTTCTTAAATAAATAAATATTTGTTCTTTAATAGATTGTTGTGTAGGTTATTTTCTAAAGAACTTTTCTTTCATCATGAAATATTGTACATGCTTCAAGATTTAATTCTATACTTACTCATAACATCCAGCTGATTATATGAAAGAGCCTCCATTTCTTCCAGTTCATAAAATTTTGATTCTAGTGTTGAAAACATTAACAGCTCATGTATTTGTCTCTCTAGAAATTTAAAAATGCACATATTGAATTTCTGGTTAAAATATTGCATTTAAAAGTAAAGTTCTGGTTCTTCACTGCTTCCATTTTGAAATTTTGAAATGGAAGCAGTGGACCAATTGTTATATTTGCATTTCTCAACATAGCAAAAGAAACATAATTTTTAACTTAGAAAATACTGCATGAATAACATGAATTGTTGTGGAAGTAAGAAAAAACTCCCTATTTGTAAGAGTAATGATTAAAACATATTTTTGTATATATGATTGCAAGTACGAAAGTGCTCTAGTCCATAAGAATGGAAGAGTGTAGTTTTGCTCTTCTAGACCAAGAGGTACCACAGTGTTAAATGAATATTGAGAACAATGAGCATATTGCTATTCTACACAAATAAAAATGGAAAAAAATGTCAGACAGGCTACAGAAGAGATCACAGTATGTGTTGAATGAGAAGAAATTACCGGTAGTAGAGATTGAAAAGAGATTGTTTTTGCATTGAAATCATTTTCAAGCCAAATCCATTTTAGCAATCTTTAAAACAAGACTGTAAGGTTTATTTTTGCCTTAAAATCAAATTTATAAATAGTTAGTTCTATAGAAGATTACAGTATGTAGAGGTCTAATGCATCATAGACATACAAGTGAAAAGCTTGTTATAATAGGAAAGCTGGTACCAGATATAAAGTGAGAATAGATAGAGCTGGAAGGGACCTTTGAGGTCTTCTAGTTTAGCTTGCTGCTCAAGTAGGAGGACCTATACCATCTCAGAAAAATGACTGTCTAGCCTCTTCTTAAAAATCTCCAGTGATGGAGCACCCAGTGTCCTCACTGTTAGGAACTTTTTCCTTAATTCCAGGTTGCTTCCCTCTTGATCAGTTTCCAACCATTGCTTCTTCTCCTGCCCTCTGGTGCTTTGTAGCAGGCCCTCAGATACTGGAATACTGCTATCATGTCTCCCCTATTTCTTCTTTTCTTTATACTAGCCAAACCTAAGTACTGCAGTCTCCAGGCCTTTGATCATCTTAGTTGCTCTTCTCTGAATTTTTTCCAAACTCTCAACATCTTTTTTGTGATATGGTGACCAAAATTGGCTGAATATTCCAGGTGGGGTCTTATTAGGGTTTTATAAAGCGGTACTAACACTTCCCAAGTTACAAGTTTATTCGAGATCCCAAAACAATTTTTGATAAAAAACTAATAGCTTGTCTTTGAATAACTTTTATTTGAACTAAAGAAAAGAATAATCGTACATCAGAATAAAAAGCTCAATAAAAGGGACTATCTTAAAGAAATATAATTGCTCCAGTTCAAAAGTTTTTAGAGGAGAATACAAGTATATGTTCCAAGTAGGTATCAGCCTTTTAAGGAAAAGTCCCAAGGTAATAGTGTGAGACACATTAGTAGCCAGTCATATCCAGAAACAGATACAGGAGAGTTTCAATCCAAGATTAATAGAATGTATTGCTAAGAGAACCTGGGACTCTGGTGCTCTGAAGCAAGAATGGTATTAGTGAACACAATCCTTCAATATTTTTTAAGGCAAAAATAAAAGATCTATGGTTGTCAATCCCACTTTATAAAGAAAATTGAATCACTGAATGCTGTAGCATTCACTTATGGAATGTCAGAACGCTATTCTGATCAGATATATGTTTCTCTATTCCTGTAACATGAATAGCATTACATATGAAAGCTGTGCCAGTTCCAGAGTTGCAGCTTTGCTACCATTGAGCTATCAAATGTAATGTGGACAATATGATTCCAAAGAAGAATTAAGTTAATAAACAGGAAGGAAGGAAGGAAAAATGCAAGGAACAAAAATCATTCCATTCAACACCATTCAATCTGAAATGAATTGGATCACCACTGTAAGGACTTATAGCAGAAATTGTCATGCAACATCTAGAAGCCATAGCATTTCCATAAATATAACCGAAAATATGGATCAGATATGTAGATGATAACTTCACCATAATAATAAAAGGACCAATTAGAGAACATCCACAGAACCATCAATAACATTTTTAAAGGAACCCAATTTACTAGAGAAGAAAAAAACAACAACTTACTACCTTTCTTGGACATCCAGATCAACAGAGACCACAATGGCAAACTAGAAATGCAAGTCTATAGGAAAACCACCCATACAAACCAGGTGGTCCACTATCAAATAAACAACCCAACCTCCTACAAGAGAAGCTGCGTAAGGATTTTATTTAGACGAGTCCAAACACACTGCAAAAACCCTGAACAGCAGAAAAAGGAAATAAAGGATAATAATAATGTTTCAGTTTGATACTTCCGGTGGATCTGCGCGCGCGATGGCGGCTACTTTGTAGCCGTCCTCCTGGGTAAGTGTTTGAATCGCTATGAACAGCGGACACCAGCTGTTCAGCGGTTCAAAATCCCCCTCCCGGGCAAAGGGAGGGGGAAGAGGATTGTCTGAATAGTGGTAGAGCCTATTATGCACCCCCAAGGCTTTTTTTGGGGGGTGAAAAGAGCGCTCCCACGGAGTTCAGACTGTCTCCGCTTCCCAGCTGCTTTTGTCTCTAGGGACAAAACAAGCCGCTGCAACCACCTCCGTGATTAAAGTGATCTGGTGAGTTTTTCTTAGAAGCGGACAGAGCTGAGTAGAGGATTTTGCTTTTGCTTTCTCTGATCTTATTTGGATTTTAAGTTTAAAGATTTACTTTTATATTTCCTTTTTTATTTTTTATTTTCCTTTGTTGAAAGAGAAAGTAAAATGGCGATCGGCAGGCTTTTCGGTGTTTTTTTTTCCTTTTTTTTTAATGACTGGAGCGGAATGTGGACTTATTTATAATGATTTTTATAAATGATATAAAAATCATTTATAATGATTTTTTGATGTTGGGTTTGGATTTTAGGAGGATTATTATTCTTGTTTAACCTTTTTGTTTTGTTTTTTGTACTTTTAAAAAAAATGGAATGGATTTTTTCTATTTAATTATTTTCTTTTTTCTCTTTCCCTTTTCCTTTTTTAAACTTTTTTCTTTTTATTTTTTTTTATTGAAAGTTTTATAAATTTTACAAAAAAACAAAAACAATACAAAACAAAAGACAACATATACAAAAAAGAAACTAAACATTACATATATAAAAAAAATAAAATAAAAAAAACCCATCCCCCACCCCTCACAAAAACCCTCCCTTCCCCCCCCTGAGCTTCCCAGAGCAGAATATAGGCTTAATTAAAAATTAAGAAATAAAAATAAAAAATTAAATTAAAAAATTTATATTTATATATATATATATAAAAAATATCTATATATATATATAAAAATAAAACTTATAAAAAAGCTATGTGATATTTTTGTATACCCAATCTAAATTGTATAAATTTTATCCATTTGTCCCAAACAGCAAGGAACTTCTCTTGCGTTTGTTGCTTTAAGAAAGCCGAAATCTTTGCCATTTCCGCCAGATAAGCTACTTTAAGAAACCATTCCTGCAATGTAGGCAAAGATTCCTTCTTCCAATATTGTCCTACTAACAGCCTAGCGGCTGTAATCAAATTTAACATCAATACAACCTCCTTTGTATCACAATCTGTAACAATGCCTAACAAAAATAATTGCGGAGTAAATTTTACCCTCCTTCTAAAAATTCTCTGGATATTCCACCATATTTTGATCCAAAATGCTTTTATCTCTCTGCATGACCACCAAATATGATAATAGGAAGCATCCTTATAACCACATCTCCAACATTTGGGTTGCACGTCAGGGTACATAAGAGACATTTTTTGTGGATCAAGGTGCCATCTATAAAACATTTTATAAAAATTCTCCCTAAGGTTCTGTGCTTGTGTAAATTTGACATTTCTCACCCAAATGGTTTCCCAAATGTCCAATGAGACTGGGACACCAAAATTCTGCGCCCATCTAATCATACAATCTTTAATTAATTCCGTTTCTGAGTCCATTTCAACTAATACCCCATAAATTCTCTTGATATGGGTTTGTCTTTGATCCTTAACTTGCTTAATAAGATTTCCATCTTCTCTAAGAAAACCCAATTTACAATCCACCTTCCATTTATCTACTAGTTGCCTATATTGAAACCAGGAATAAATAATATTTTCTTGCGCTAAATCTTCCCGTATTCTTAACTGCCAGTTTTGCCCATCCCATCTAAGTAACTGACTATAAGACACCATGTCCATTTTTACTCCTCTTTTTATTCCTTCTATCGCATGCCAAGGTATAGCCCATAATGGAACTTTAAAATCACTTTTATAATATTTTCTCCAAATCCTAAGTAAAGAAATTCTTAAAATATGAGATTTAAAGACCCAGTCCATTTTTTTATTAAATATTAAATAGGCATGCCACCCATAAAGTAAATCCCATCCCTCTAAATGAAGTATCTCAGGATTTGTCAAATTTACCCAATCACTGATTAGTGTTAAAACCACCGCATCGTAATATAATTTCAAATTTGGTACCTTAAGTCCACCCCTCTCACGGAAGTCTTGCATAATTTTAAACTTAACCCTTGGCTTTTTCCCTGCCCAAATAAATTTATTAAGACCCTTCTGCCACTCACTTAAATTAATCTCATTTTTCAAAATCGGTAACATTTGAAACAAAAAAAGAAACTTGGGTAGAATATTCATTTTTATCACTGCAATTCTTCCCATGAGGGATAATTGCAACTTCTCCCAATTCTTCAAGTCCTTCTGTACCCTGACCCACAACCTTTCATAATTATTTTTAAATAATTTTACATTAGAAACAGACAACATCACCCCCAAATATTTTACCTTATTAACAATCTCAAAACCCGTCAAGTTAGCCAAAATCTGCTTCTCCTGACTAGACATATTTTTAGGTAAGATTTTAGTCTTATTTACATTAATCTTGAAACCCGAAACCAAACCATAATGATGAATCAACTGTAATAAGTTTACTGCAGAATAATCAGGTTGCGACAAAGTAACAACCAAGTCATCCGCAAAAGCTCTCAACTTATATTCTTTTTTG